AATCTCATTATTTATAGTGAATTCAAAATTTGAAATTCAAATTATAATTGTTGTCATTCTGTGCACTGTTTCTTATATTGTTGATTTCAATTTAGCAATAAATTGGCACATATTTTGTTTATTAATTCACGAGATTTATCATCAATATTATTAAAAATATTGCATACAATTTATGTATAAGAATTTGTTTTGTGTTTTACTAATTTATACAAAATCTTTTTGTCAAAAAGCAAACTATAATTTATGAAATGAAATTCAAACTTTTCAAAAAAGATGAGAATAAGGGGCCCAAGAATAAGGAGCCCAAGAATAAGGAGCCCAAGAATAAAGAGCCCAAGAATTTGGAGACTCATAAGACCGAGAATGAGGAGTGGATGCTATCTAAATGGGAGTTTCAAATGTTACCCTTTTCTCGTATCATTTGTTCATACATTGTCTCACTATTGGCCATATTATTGATCCTCTTGGGGTCCGTACAATTCGCTTTGGCTTTCTATTCATACCATGAGTTTAATACTTATTCAACTATTATTGAAAGCCACTTCAATGTCCTCAAAATTCCCGTTTATCTACAGATTAGTGGCCTATCGATAATTGCATCAAATCTCATCATTTGGTACTACTTTCAGTTGCAACGATCTTTTGAAGTAGTGAACAACGTTCAAGAGCTAGCAATTTACACACATTGCTTCAGGATTTTATATTATTTATCCATGAGTTTAGGTGTGTTAAGCCTTGTCATAACGTATTTAGTGTCCAGTGAAATGAATACATTGAGAAAAGTTTTTCCAACAAGTTTTAATTCGGCCCTTCATTTGTATACAAATGATATCAAAATTAGACGAGAAATCAATTTCATCCAAAACTCTTTGAAATGCTGTGGAGCTGAAGGTCCCGATGATTGGAAACTAGTGTCGCTCATTGGGCCGAAAATAAAAGAGATTCATTTCTATTACCGATTTAAGAATATAATTGACAAACAAGTGAATGAATCCAATAAAGAAAAGTTGTTTCGAGAAAAGCAATACTACATGAGAGACGTGCCATTCAGTTGTTGTGATCCCGGTGTGGAAAAGCCGTGTATGTTCTTCAATATAGACAAATCACTGCTCGCATGGAAGAGGGATATCGACCCAAAGACCACGTTATTCAGTGATGGCTGTGCCAATCAAATGCTCTCAACGTTGAAGAATGTGTTTAAAGCTCTCGGTTGGGACCGATTTGTTGAACTCTTATTGACTTCAATTCAACTAATATTAGTGGATGTGATCGAGCAGTCCCTTCGCTCGCAATACATTCAGCAAACATATCCACCGATCGCTCGCTTCCCTGTTTTCATATCACTTATATTTTTTGTCATTATTTTGTATCACTTTTTTACATTGTGATCTTTTATTTTTATTATTTAATTCTCTCTAATGGTCTATTAATATACCGTATTTATATAAATTGCAAAATTTCATTTATAATATTATTAATAAAATATTTTATTCATTTGGTTTCGAATATATAATAGATTTCCTTAAATAAAAATAAATACTTTAAAAGCCTTAATAATTGAATAAAATTTAACAAAACATTTAGTAAATTCTAAATTGTACCTATTATTGAATTACACATTTCAATAAATTGCAAACATTTATGCCATTTCCAGTACTTTAGTTAAAAACAAAGAATTATAATAAGATAATAAAATATTTTACATAAAATGCATTTAAATAAAAAATATCACAATTAAATAGACTTTAATGATAGCCATTAACTCCATTTACTTGAATGGTGGTGCCATTAGTTTGTTTAATAGCATTTAGTTTTGATTTGATTGCCTGCGGATCGGAGCCATTGATAATGAGAGGCGTTTGAAACACCTTTCCGGCCACCAGTTTGTCGAGCCCTTCGCCGTCATAACTAATTAGTGGCGATATTTCGCATATCACTTGACCCTCATTGTGGCTTTGGATCAAATCAAATGAATACAATTACTTATAAATCGTACAAATGATAGTAATATTTATATATTACTTATTGTTATTTTTATCATTAATGTCAGAGTCGTTATTGCCATTCAAATCAACTTTGACTGGACTGCAAATTAGGATAAAAAAGCAAAACTAAAAGTCATGCAAAACATAATGAAATCATATATGAAATGAGAACAAAATCAAAGTGAAAACAAATGGTTTGAATAATTCATTGAAAACCAAATCATTCATTAATTTGATAAATAATAGAAATGTGAAAACGAGTGCAAACATCAAGTCATACCTTGGGATCAAAGGAATTGTTTTTCCGTTTTCGTCGACAAACTTCCCGCCGGAGTTCAACACAAACCTCTGATGAAGATTATAGACGGATAGGCGAGCAGTGGTCGGATTGTCTTTATCAGATCCGTCGCCATTCTTGAGCGGAGAGAACTCGTCTTCGCGTAATACTTCCCACACAACAAATTTACTGCAAAACAAGCCATCAATGAATAAACAGATCATATTTCATGGACAAGAGAGTGGACAGACTCAGTGAACTCGAAGACATCGAACACGAATTTCTCGAGTTTTATTCCGTTGGGTTTCTCGGGTTTCACTTCCTGTCCGTTTGAGTCAATGTATGCGATCTTCTTCTTCGCGATGTGATGGATGAGGTCTTTGCCACTGATATGCAAATTGGCATCAATTAAGCAAATACTGCAGACAACGAGTGAAACTGCACTTACGAAACATTATTTTGGAGAAAGTTCAGTGTGAAGTAATGGTTGCAAATGTTGCCTGCGTCAAATGTGAGCCTCCCGTTTGCACTTCGCTTTTGTGCCGTTTGTAGTGAGACTTCACTGTATTCGACGACTTTGTACTTTCCCTTCACTTTGCATATAATGCCAACCGCTTCGGTGGGGAATGCCTTCTGCACGACCTTTGCGGCCGCTTCCGCTCCCTTTGATATACAATAGCCGATAAACGTCGGGTCCGCCACTTTCACCAGAATATTGTCCACACAATAGACTTGGATGTGTTCAATGCCTCTCTTTTGCATGTCATCCAAAACGCCTCGATCTGTGAGCGCATTATAAAGACCTCCATTTCCATCGGGAGCTCTGGCCACTTTGAAAGGGGTCTCCAGTATTATTTTGCCATCAAATTGAAAGCAGGGATAAGTGCTCTGTTCAAAGACAACCACATTCTCTGGCGATAAACCAAAATAGCTGTTCTTTCTGAAGAACTCAAGTGTGGGCTCTTTGGTGGCCTCAGAGGTCATGATATACCAGGGAATTGAGCCCTTCTTTCCCGTCAAATCATAAGCCAGTTGTTCGAGACGAAGGATACGCTCGCCCTGTAGTTGGTATAGAGTCTTATGGGAGGGGAGGCCCACGTCGTACATGCCTTTGGGGTAATTGACACCAAGTCTGGTGCCCTGACCGCCAGCCAATAACAGGGCGGCCACTCGGCCTTCAGATATTTGACGCAATCCTTTAAATATTAAGCATTTATTAAATATTGAGTGCATTTGTATTAATGAATAATTCATGAATTAATGCTCGGATATGTTCACTAAATATATGAACAATCATTTCCTTGATCTCAATTCAATATCTCTCTTATTTTTCAAGTAAAATAAAGATTTAATTAAGTCTTAAGGTTAAGGTTTAGTACAAAATTTTCAAATAATTGTATATAAGAATCTGTAATAGTAGTCAATGATAATGGGGATTATAGTGAGAATGATTACAACATGAATAGAGTACACAATTATGAGAATTATAAACAAACTATTGTTATGTGATATCTAAATATTTAATGATATGATTGTTAGGATTAAATACAAGATATTCTGAGATTAAATACTAAACTTAAGAGTCCAATATTATAATATCCATTGTGTTCATTGAGTAGTTTGTAATTTCGTGTTGATTTTGAAAAGGATTTTAGATAACATAAGTCTATCTACACATGAATATAAACACTCGAGATATGAATTTCAAGTTATTTTAATAGGATTTCAATGTTGAATAAGAGCTCAAAGTATTAAAAATATAGATATTTTTAATTTTATCGTTAACTCAATAACTGAATACAATTGAATAATTGTTGTGTTTTGCGAAATCGAGACAACTGTCCGATTATTATATAAGCTGAAAGCTGTTGGCGCCTAACAATTACAACATCATTCAAATTGTCGTATCTTTTACTTAATGTAAATTTAAATTACTGTGTGAAAAGTGCACACAATCTAACAAATCATCATTTTTTGTAATTTTATCATTTTTAAATAAAATATTTAAGCCTATTTATAGTTATTTTCCATGATGAATGTAAACAAATTTTAACTCTACAAAAAAAGTTTTTGTTTGGCTGACTAAAAAGTCTGAGCAATGCTCTATAGCTTTTAGATAAATACTATGCTTTCATTGAGAAAAATATTGATACAGTATTTATAAAATCTTCAATATCATATTCAAATACTGTAGACATTTAAACTCTTTATTGATTTTACATAGCAATAGGTTTCATTGAAAATAAGCACTCATTTCATGCAAACTGTTTACCAATGATTATATAAAAACAGAAAATATCTTGAAATTTGATAATTTAATGATAGATTTCTTAAAGAGTATATTAAAAACTATTTTACAAAATCTGATCTCTTGTTGAGTCTCTTTACTGTCATATTAATGACAAAACGTCTAAATTATGAAGAATTTAAGAATTATGTAAAACATGAAAGAAAGTCGTGAAGACTCACCGCTCTGTCGATAGGAATCGAGTTTCTCTTTGGAAGTTCTTGTGATGCTTTCGTGGACTTGTGGTGACAGGGCTTCCAACGAATCGTCAATCTTCTCATTTTGATCACAGTTTGTATTCATGGTCTCATCGAAAGCTCGGCACACTTTAGCGAAATTAATAGTCTTCAAGTCATTTAGGAGCAGTCGTTGCTGTTCTTCACTGATTTGGTCCCAAAAGGCAATCAAATGGCTTTGTTTGTGTTGATGGAGAAGTTGCTGAACACTGTTTAGATCAGACATTATGGGAATACTGGAAATAAATGGGAGACAAAAAAAACTCAATTAAAAGCAATGCATAGATTGACATAAAATTGATAAATCGATTTGAATGAGAAAGCAGTGACTGTTTGCCACATCAGCACTGAATGCATAGCAAAACAAAACTGAAACTGACTTTTGGCTACAAAATAAGATAATTTAGATTTGGTTTTGTGGGCACAACTAATACAACTAAATCCAGCTCAAGACCAATAACTGTGTCAAATGCCTGCCAAACACTACTCACACACACCTAACTAACAGCTCATTCAATACCTGCCCATTCATTATATGCTAAACGAGAGTTAAATGATTTTTTGATTGAATAAAACTTAATGAAAAAGTGGGACACCATTTGAAAAGCCACTTGAAAACATGCAAAACTAATTGTCGAAATTGCGGTAAATATATTTAAAAAATGCATTTCAGAAATGACTTACTTTTGAAACTTTTCCTCAATTATAGTATACACGATATGAGACCGAAATTGAGTGATGTTTTCGAGACAACTATTTGAGTGAAATGTTTGACCAAAAAATATACCAAAGTTTTTGGTGTGAACTCAAAACTTGTTTAATGAATAGATGTTTACGATTCCCAATCATTTTATATTCAATTCATATCTAATGCCAAAGTAGTCATGAGCTCATGAGTGAGACATATCTGACAACAAATCATTGGAAATAACTTTGAGTTCCGTTTAATCCAAATGTCGAGAAGAAGGAGTGAATTATAGCTAAATCTCTAATCAAAATCTTACGGTTAGTGTAGTATTAGTAGTATTATTAGTCTCTCTATAAGTCTATAGTATTGTTCACTATTGACGTGAATTACATGACGTGAAAACATTCATTACATTCATTATAATCTCATCCAGGCATCAGTTATAATATTACTGTTACCACACTATCAACACATTCACTGATAATAACAATGCATTAATTGTCACAACTAATTGCCGGATCAGATAAGCACTTAATTCACATATCAATACATTGTCCAAACATTGAGATCATTGTCAGACCATTCAATTGATTACAATCTTCACAAACATTCAAATCATATGTTTTTGTTTCAAACATTGAATTCATTGATGAGGTCTAGTAGTCATTCAAAAGACCATATGAGTGAACAAAGTGGACAGATATGACATGGATACAATATGTGGGAGTGTATGGTCACCACAATACATACAAAGACATTGAAATCATGTCAACAGTGAAACACCGACTCAACACTCAATCAAACTTTAAACTCACGTTTCATCGCAAGTATAGCCAAAAAATGTCAAAACAATCGCAACACACGTCTGCTCTCATACTCTCAGCCAATGTTTTGATTGCAATGCAATCGTATGACAGTCGCCGTCAACTTGTAGACAAAACACACGGCAACTGAATGGCAAACGTCTACAAAATGTGTTGACAGTATTGCACACACAGTCAACAACAGATTACGCAAAGCATCAGTGAATCGATAAATGCAATCATGAAGTGATTGACAAACAAATGACAGTCCATTTTCAGCAAACAAATGAGTGATTATTTGCTAATTTTGTCATTCAGTTTGTGAACCAAACCACACATACATTCAACTCATTTGTGTTGATATGTGTGTCAATTGATCCCATAATCAAAAGGACGGCAAAAGTGATAAATAATGGCTAATAATGTGGTCTCCATTTCCGACCATAAGAGTCAAAAGCCTTCAAGTAATTCATTATCTATTCATTCATTTATTAATTATTACAATATTTTTATTTATTTTGTTTTTACACTTAATTACTGCTAATTGGCGTTAAATTACAGTTAAAACAAATAATATAAGGATTATTATGTTTATGTAATTTGAGGCAAATTCTTGAAATACCCCCACAAGTGATACAAGTCTTAAGACTTACATTGAATTTATTGATAAGAATTTAGATATAATTTTCATTTCCTATTATTAGAGAGGATTTGATAACAAAACTATTTATTGAATTTATGCCTAATTTAATAATAATCTTCAGGACATGAGTTACGATAAGATGTTTGCATAATTGTGTAGTAGTTGCTGGCAAAAGCAAAATATCTGGATTAGTTATGAGTACAGTAATAGTGTAGACAAATGACAATACCTTGAATGCAATGATACTAATAATGGTGTTGTGGTTGTGATGGACAGGCAGTGCATTCAAGCAGCAGAAGCTGCCCTCGTGGTCACCCATCCTGACAGTGGGCACAGTATTGCCCACATTCTTCCTCATCGGTGTCGCATTCATTCCCATCGGAATCGGTCTATTAGTCTCATCTAATCAGGTATTCATTGCTCTCTGGCTTTCACACCAATCCTAAGCTAATGCCTAAACAAATGAATCCTTAGGTCCAAGAGTTTGAGTTGAATTACACGGCATGTGAGCAGTACGTGGAGGGCGTGGCCGCTAATGAGCCGAAGAAACGGTGCTCTGAAGTGGTGGCCCAGAACTGGAACCAGACGTGCATTTGTCACATCAACTTCACTCTCGAGGAGGACTTTCGTAGAGATGTCTACATTTACTACGGATTAACTAATTTCTATCAAAACCACAGACGATATGTTAAGTCTAGGGACGACCGGCAACTGTTGGGAGAGATCAAGGGGTCGACTGAATGCGCGCCCTTTGATAATGATAAGTCCGTCGACAAGTGGTACGCCCCGTGCGGTGCCATCGCTAACAGCATATTCAACGACACGTTTAAAATACAGCGATATTTCGATAAGACGACCCCCAAAACGATTCCGACCACCGATTTGGGCATCGCGTGGGCCACCGATAAGAACGCCAAGTTTCGTAACCCAAAGATACCCGACGGACAGACGAACCTGTCGTACGCCTTCGCCGGCACCATTCATCCGCCCAATTGGCAGAGGAATGTATGGCAACTCAAGCCAAGCGAACCCATTAATAACAATAATAACGGGTATCTCAACGAGCGGTTCATCGTATGGATGAGAACCGCTGCTTTGCCCACATTTCGCAAACTATACGCCCGGGTCTCGCACAACACCAACGAGAACGACATCAGTTACCATTCCTCTCTACCCAAAGGCAATTACCTACTTGTCGTCGAATACCGTCAGTTCTCCAAACCATTCATCCCTTTAATCCATTCATTGCTAATATGATTGATTGCTTTCAATCCATAGACTTTCCAGTGGCCGCCTTTAAGGGGACCAAACGGCTCATCATTTCCAACACTTCATGGCTCGGCGGCAAGAATCCATTCATTGGTGTCATGTATATCATCGTTGGCTGTGTTTGCCTTTTATTGTCTGCAATTTTCGTTTTCATTCACAAAAAGTTTGGCAAAAGGTATACACATTTTGAAATGCTTTTTATTTACAAATCTAATCATTTGTTACAATTTTTGCCGACTGTTCAGTACGAATGAAATACTGAACGTTTCGCAGAGAACACCATACATTGGCTGACATTCATTAGAGTCATATCCATTAATTTATTATAATTAATTAATATGTATTTAAAAGCACTATATTTTAATAATTTGTTGTTAAGTTTGAATTATTGTTACAATAATCTCTGAACTCGTATTTATATTTTCAAAGCCGTGCTATCATTGCATTCCATTATCTCTTATGCTGTGATTGCTGACAATTTCTACCCACAACTCAACCCTTTATTCAAATAAATTCTTTTCTAATATTTTATTTCATAGAAAATGCCATTTTTCATAGTTTTCGAGCTAATGCACAAAATTAGTGTATATTCTGTACATTTGAAACGAATACTGAATATAAAGTAATACATGACATGATTGACACTTATTAGTCAATCCTTCTATGCCTTTATAAAGGATTCAATTCCTAATTATACTAAAGTCACAAATAGTGAGAATTTTTTGCATTTCCTTTTAATTATTTGTATATAAATACAATATCAATGCAAATAACGAATACTATTTTATCTCATAATATTGCCTATTGTTAGTTATTTTATTTGTAAATTTTGAGAATATAATAAAAATCAATTTATTACCAATTTGTCTCAGTGTCTTATTTTACAAGTATTTCAATTACTGGTAAATTTGAATAAAAATGTTAATGTAATTCTTTTATGTATAATTATACTGTATTAAAAATTCATTGTTTTATAATTAACCATGTTTCAAATACACAGCTTTTACCCTTTAATTACTGCCATAAATTGAACTATTTAATTTATTCGAATAAGTCTTCAATAATTTAACATGGGTTAATTTGTAATTTATTTTATTATACTATAATGGACCTATCAGGTTGATAGGATGATTTAGTATTGTGTCTGATCAAATTACTAACAGCAATGGATTGGACAAAAATAATGAGGTAGACTGAACTCGTGGCCGTACATCACATTATGATAGCATACCAGTACAGTATATTACTGAGCCAGGCCTATTTTCGAGTACAGTGGCCATGGGTGTGAGTGACAGTACATTTGTGGATAACTTGATCAAAAGTGGCGAGCCTGGGCATTTGGTACACAGACTGCTTGAGGGGTACAGTAATGGTGACAGATCTGACAGGCTGTCCCAGTGACACAATGTGTAGTGCTAAATGGTTACACAACAGCGTTACCTGTGCAGTACAGTACAGCACTGTAGTGGTGTGGTGCATGCGCAGTGGCACCTGTATCATACATTTTCTGCTCACATTGGTGTAATACAGAGTACATGACTGACTGTATGATGCATTATATTGAACATTACATTACATTATAGTCGCCATTATTTGTTTGCATTTTTTAGCATTTTCATGACATTCAGACACCATTGTATCACTATAGCTATATAGCGCTATATTAATAATACATGTATTCATATGTGTGATGATATTCAGACAATAATGACTGGTGTACTGCAACCCATTCACCCGATCATTGTCCACCGAAACACACATTTAGCCATTGGTTTGGTGTCCCCTTCACTCACATAACGTAATTGTCTTTCTTAATGATCAGATGATTATCTCATTACATGTACTGCATGTGTAGCCATGAGTTGACAGCCTAATTGAATTGGCAGTAAATATGGTTTGCAATGATTGTGTTGTCTTATAGTGGTCTCAATGGTGTGTTTGTTTGTTATTTGCAGTGATTTAGTGATAGTTTGGCAAACATTGCATCCAAACGTTGATATGATATAAGTGGTGATGAAATGTGTATACATTTCGTGTATGTATTGATAACACTAATGGTATGTCTTGTATGTCACGTGCAGTGATGTTGGCGATGGACGATGGGGGCCGATGTCTACTTGATGTGATCGATGACCCCCAGCTCTTGCAGTCCTTCCTCGAGAGCACCACCGGAGCCATGGAAGCCAATATGGAGACCATTGTCGGTGCTGTCGGTGCCGTCAAGCAAATGGATCCCAAACGCGACTCGAGGCAAGTGGATCACGTGACCAGCTCTGGTGGCAACCACGAGCCACTCCTCAGTGTCAACAAACCATCTTCTGGTCAGTTAGTCATCGACGACAAGCAGACACTCAATCTGGTCTCCTCTTCAGTCGGTCTCATCCCCATCACAGGCCTCTCCAACGCAGTCACCGCACAGCCAGCCCTCACCACTCTGTCGACAACCAATCAGATGCCACTGAGGACTACGGGGCCCGCCTGGACGCCCACCACCTTCCAGATCGCCAACCCTAGAGGTGGGGCCCCTCTGACGGTGCAACTGCCGCAGCAATTCATAGTACCTCCCGGTATGCAAATGGGAGGCCCGCCTGGCCTTCAACAGCTGGTACTGACAGCTCCCCGTCACGGCGGACCTCACGGGCCGGGTATACCTCCAGGCATACAACCGGGTCAGTTGGTTCAGATCATACAGACTCCTTCGGGGCCACAGATATTGCCAACCAATCCGACGGCAACCGTACAATCGATTGTCAGCACAAGTAGTACAACAAAGTCGTCGTCGACGACCAGTTCTTCGCGATCTAACAAACAAATACTACCCAAACCTCCCGGTTCTACAGTATCGACAACCAGTTCAGTGACCACTAACAGTGCGAATAAATGCCAACAATTAACACAACAAAACACTCTGAAAGTGATCAATAGTTTGCCCCCAAATGCCACTCAGTTTACCTCGACAACGATACCGACGAGTGGAGCGGGACCTCAAACTCAGCAAATATTGATCGGTCCGGGGGGTCAACCGGCAGGTGTGATAGCCGGACCTCAGGGCACCTTTCTGTTCAACCCTATGATGGGTGGCATCGGTTCGCAACCCTTTCTCATTCAGGGAAACCTCGCAAATGTTCCCAATTCTGTTCAGTTGACTCTTAGACCCAATTCTTCGCACAGCTCTTCAGTGATGACAATGAGTAATGGGTTGCCGTCTAATATGTCGGCGCCCGACGCCAACACCAATATATTGAATGCATTGAATGCTAATGTGTCGAAACAAGGACCCACACAATCACCACAACCTCAGACTTTTGTGATACCAAACAACTCGACTGCTGTGAGTAGTGCTACGCAGGGAATGGTGATGACCAGTGCGGGCCGACCCGCTTCCAACATCATATTCACGCGGCCCCCATTCATCGGAGGCCCACCTCAGGGCCAGCCGACTGGCCAACAGTTTCTACAGTTACAAACACCTAACGGACCCATTCTGGTGGCCATTCAATCCCAACCGCAACTCTTATCACAACCACAGACACCAACCTCACAACCAACACATGGCTTTCAATTGGGCAACACTATGATACCAATCAGTGCGCCACACCTGTCCTCACACTTAGCACCAAATCTCAACACAAGTATCCAAACAGCAGCCGCACATCCGGCACTTCACGCACTATTGACTCATAACGACAATACGAGCGGCCAAACAGTAATACAGACGTCTGTGCCATCAGTGGTGACATCGAATACAGTGATCTTCACATCTCAGCCGCAAATCATAACTCGTCCGCAACTGCAACAGACGCAGAGCCAACAGTTCAAGAGCTCAGCGCCGTCACTGAATTTGGCAGAACTGCTCAAAGAGCACGGCATACTCCCCGAGTGCAGCCCTCCCTCATCGCCCACTAACAACTCATTGACTGATATAAACACAGGTGCTATCCATTCAGAGCTCATTCACCCGACACAACAATCGCAACAAACGGTGCTTATGGTGCCGAGTGGTCCCAACCAACCGCCCAATATTGTATTGACTCAAAGCCCAATTACGCCGACAGCTCCGCCCCAACTCAGACTAGCATTAGGTCCCGACGGAAGTGTTATACTTCAGCCACACATCACCGCAAACACTAATGGCTTAGTTTCACAAATTCAGTCACAATTCATCTCTAATTCTAATTTGAAATTTAATGACCCCTCGAAAGACTCGAGTGGTTTGGGATCATCACAACCATCTCCCGACTCGACCACTCCCAGCATCGACACGACGTCTACTTCATCGACCAATGGCACCGTCAGCCTAACGACGACAACGACAACAACGGCGGCGTCGACGATGGCTCAGAACACGAGCACCTCTTCTGCCTTATTGGAACAGTTGAATACAGGGCCGGCCGTTAAAGTCCCTGATTTGGTGGCATCTCTAGCCCTCTCTCATAGCTCTTCTACCGGTGCGGCCGTCAGTGAAGACTCAAAACCAATTCAATCACAAACAGCTTTAATTCCATTAACCGTTCAAAACATAAACAATAGTTTAGATCAACAAAAGCAGACAATTCTTACAATTCCTGTTCAGAGTGGAGACAATGGTGTGGTTCCGGTTGTCTCGAATGGATCTTCCAATGCTGTGATCAGAATCGGTAGCTGTGATACAATTCCCACTTCATTAGTGTTGACCACAACACCTACCACTGTGTTCGCTAGTCCTCCCAAGACTCAGACCCTAACCACGGGTTCCATCGCCACTGTGCTCTCACCCATCACTTGTACAAACAGTAACAGCACCGGCAGTGTTAGTGTCACCGGAACAACCACTACAGTCATTGACCAGAACGGAGTGCCTATGATTCAAGTGAGTCCTAACAATCAGGAATTCCTGCAACGGCTCGAAACCCAACTAAAGAGTCTATTAGTGCTTAAATCGCCGACAAATCAACAAAAAGAACTTTTGCAGGAATTGCTGTCTTTGCAGCAGAAGATGAATGTCGCCAGAAGTAAGACCACTTCAGACGACCAAAAGGTGGTCCTCACCACTGCATCCACGCAACAGGTATTGCAGTCGACGCCCGGTCATCAATCGATTCAAAGTCAATCCGATTGCCAATCACAGCAACAAACGCCACAAAATATGCATTTAATGAATCTACTTAAGCAAACACCCGTCCCCGTCAACCATACCTCCAGCCCTCAAATCCGTCTTCTCACGCCCGTCAGTGCGGCGCCCGTTAACGGGACGGCCACTATTCAGGTGGGTAATCAACTCATCACTTTCACCACTCCTGTCAAACAACAGTTGCAAAACTTGAAATCCATTGCTTCCAATCAAATCGTTACCAAAGTATGTGTTCAGTCATTGTAATCACTTTAACCGCTTATTCATGTCTTTAATATCTATTTTAGCCACAATTATCAACACAGACTCCTGCAGTCATACTCCGGTATCATACCCCAACGCCAACTACTACTTCGACATTTGTCACCACTTCGACCACAACTAAGACATCAATCATTAAGAATGACTTGCATTTAGACAAAGAGCGACGAAATGCCAAAGTTTTAAAATCGTATGATTTGATCGTAAAAATTGTTTTAAAAAATACATTTTAAAAATAATATTTGGTATTTGTTATAGTATTCAACAACAGCTAAATGTCGACCAAAACGCAGCCCTAAAACCTGACACCAAAAGACCATTTAATTCGAGAGACGACGCCTGCAAACGATTGCTTCGATACCATGTCTTCAACGCTCCCGTAATGAGTACTTCAGATATGGATAAAAGTATGCTTTTGTCAAACTTTGTGCTAAACGTAGTCTAAAATGAATCTTATTTTGTGTGACAAACAGGCGATCAATTGTTTGAAAAGGTTTCACAACATTTGTTGCAAAAGAAACAGCAGTTATTCGACAAGTTTAGAGTTCTCTTACTAAAGCAGAGTATGGTTAGTATGACTCGCTTTCATTGCCTTTCAAGTGCCCATTTGTCTCAAATCTAAACTTATTTCTATAAATATACAGAAAGAAACCAATTCTGCCGAACATGTAATGATTGACCGAATGTTTATAAACGACGAAATGAATTCACTTAAAACGGACAGAGAAACGGTAGCCGAAGGAAAATGTATGTTATATTCGACTTATTGACATTTTGCACAATTATGTTCAGTATTAATGGTGTGGTTTGTTTGACTCCTACAGCCCTAGACCTTCCGCCGGCGCCGCAGTCCTGGTATCAAATGATTCGCTCGTCTATAGAAGAGGAACAGAAATTATATATAAATAGGAAACGAAAGTCTTCGATAGGAAGTGATGACGATTATAACCATCATAACAGCCAAATGAGACGACACGAAGAACCCGTCGAAGAGTCTGATGAGTCTGAAGATGACGACGAAGACAGTGATGAAGACGAGACCGAAGAGAAGGACGAAACCATTTCCAACTTTCTTCAGTCGACGTCTGAAACGAATTTAGGAAATGTAAGCCATTATTACGACAACTATCACAACAATATTCACATTCAAAACGGATCCCAACTCGAGAGTCAAAGTCATGTGCCTTTAAGTGGTTTTGTCGACACAACTCAACAGCACAATGAGCTCGACATCTACTCTGACATTAACGAAGACAATGGCGCTCAAGACTGGACTGATTCCATACTTAATAACAACTCATCCGCCAACAGAAGGATTGCATGGAATCACAGGTTTGGAGTGGGAGTTCCCGAAAGCGAAGCGGCCGTTGCGGTCGAGTCCATACTCAATGACGACGAGGATGACGAACCAGACATGTCTGTCGACTTGTCGGGCATCGAAGGCCTCGACGACAACCTCGAAGTTGACACCGAAGAGGAAGAGGACGATGAAGACGACGACGAAGAAGATGATGAGGAAGAGGACGACGATGACGAGGAAGAGGAGGATGTGGTGGACGGCTATGGAATGGGAGGTGAATCCCATCAACACCAACAGCACGTGGACGTGCAGATGCAGTGTGCGATTAAAAGCATTCTGGATATGCCTTCAGTGCAGTCACAGTCGCATCCATCCCATGGATCCCATAACTCATACGCCTTTCACTCTCATAACACACACACCACTCATCAGTCACTTCATCCACATATGACTGACTACCGAAACATGGATTACTCACACATGGCTGGTATGCACGACCAGAGGAGACAGGAGGCCATACTTAGGCCGTACGGTCAGCACTCGGCCGGTGTGAACGACCCTATTCTCGACGAAGCCGTTAAGAGTATTCTCTCTTGAGATTTGTTGACAACTATTATGAAGTACTTATTGATAACAACAAACTTTTTGATTAGCATTTCATCGATAATATCTTATTCGATGTGATCTAATGGTCACTATTTTTATAAAAGTTTTCTTCATTTCTCTTCGCATCTCATTTGGCGATGAATTTAATGACTAATTCATTGGATTTATTGACAAAATATAATATATTTTAGAACTGAATCGGAGCTCTAAATCGGTTTGACTTCAGAAACAAATGCTTTTCATTGTTTGACTGTTTTGTTCAAACTTTAATGCTTACGATTAGTGCCTCTAATCCTCTAAATGTATTCAATTCTAGAGGAATTCCATTGAATTATGAATCACTTTTAATTGTTATATCAAACGAATCGTTTTTTGTTATATAAGATTTACTCATAATTATAATTAAATTATTTAAATTTATTTTAAGTACAAATTCTTTTTATTTCATTAATTCTTTTTGTCTATTTGTGTCTTAAGTCTTATACATCTGTTTAGAAATTCTTATATTCTTCGAAGTGATGGTCAGTACTGAGAATTGACCGGAAATACCTCTGAATGTAACTGATTTTCAAAAAGTGTACAGTTTTCCCGTTAATCGATTCATAAGTTAATAATATATACAATTAAATGAAACCTTTTTGTGTGTTCTGACCATCACTTCCGTGTCTACTCTGAAGTGAACTTTTTAGAGCTTTTGTTTCAAATGTACTGTTTTTCAGATATATTAGTTTTCGATATGCATATACAGTATATTATAAAAATATATAAACCGTATATGATTTTTATTTTATAAATTATGTTCAAAAAGAAATTAATTTAAAACATTTATTTTCACACAAATCGCACATTGAATTAATTTTAGATTTTGTTTTGTTTCAACATTTCTGTGATTCGTATTGTAATAAATTGTATTTAAAATCATATGTAAGTTAAGAAATGACATTTTGTCGTTATGTACTGTAAAATTGATTTTTTAAAATTCTAATAATGAAAAAATGAAGTTTTCATCATTGAAGTCTCATTTGTTATTTAAATTTCATCACATTATACCATAATTATGATTAACACAACTATTCATTTGATTTACTTTCATTTGATTACAAAGATTTAACACTTAATATAAAAGCACTTGAAGAATACACAGAATTGTGTATTCATTGCTCTCTCAGGCAATGCCTCTGTTTCTCAAAATACAATAAATTAGATAAAACTCATTCAAATGATCCCAAAATGTCTAATGATTTCGTGTATCGATTAGTCACTCAAACTAAAGATTAATTGATTTAATAACTAATACTAAAACTATTTAGTTGTCTAAATAAGTAGTTATTTATAAAGTTTTAATTATAAAAAGATGAATTATTTTTAATAAAATAAATGTTGTATTTCCAAATATATTTTTATTGATTTTATTTT